CTCAGCCATTCCCAGTCCCTTATTCAAACCGGAGTTGATTGTGTCTAGTTTCCATATCAATTCTAGCTCTGCAGTCTCTCTTTGGAGTCTGTTTTTGAAGTTTTTCTGTTGTAATATAGCCACCCGCAGGTCTGTCACTGAATGACCAGACAGGTTAAAGTGTTCTCCCACTGGTTTTTGAGTATTTTGATTCCTGATGTCAGATTTGTGTCCATTAATTCTATGCATCCGAAGAAGTGGGCTGTAGTCCACGAAAGCTTATGCTCTAATAAATTTGTTAGTCTCTAAGGTGCCACAAGTCCTCCTGTTCTTCTTTTTGCAAATTGAATATGAGTCAACAAGGGGATGCTGTTGCAAAAAAGGCTAATATCTTTTGGGGCTGTATTAAAAGCAGTGTCGTCAGTAAGACATGGGAGGTCATTTGCCCACTCTATGGTGAAGTCTCAGGTGACATACTGTGCTGAATTCTGGACACCACGCTTTAGGAAAGATGTGAACAAATTCGAGAGTCCAGAGGAGAACAAGAAAAATGATCAAAGGTTCAGAAAACCTGACCTACATGGACAGGTTAAAAAAACTGACCTTGTTTAATCTTGAGGAGACTGAAGGGAGAGCTACATTAGATATTAGGAAGAGCTTCCTAACTCTAAGGGTAGTTAAGGTGTTTGGAATAGGCTTTCGAGGGAGGTTGTGGAATATATCTGTCATTGAAGGCTTTTAAGAACAGCCTTGGACAAGCATCTGCCAGCCGGCCACTTGCTGAAACCAGCCAGAGACAGGAGAGCTGGCTGGAAAGCAGGTTGGGAGCTTCCATGTTGCCGCTACCAGTTTGACTGCCTGTAAGCCAAGCAGGGAGAAGTAATTTAAATATCAGATGGGTTGTCAAAGGAACCCCCACCCCCACCAGCCAAACTTCCCCCGGAGGGAACAGAGAAGAGGACAATCCTGCCCCCAGGGGGGGAACAGACCAGAGGGGACAAGCCTGACCCAGTGGACTGGCTCGGTCCCTTTCCCAGGGCCTGGACTCGTGGGTTTGTAGGTCTGGGGGATGTGAGGAAAAGAGATTCCGTGCAGAGGAGAGCCAGGCAGTGAATGGGCGTGTCTCACAATGGGAAAGGGGGTGGAGATGAGGGTCCATGAGCTTCTGCTTTCACATTCCTGTGAATCAGAAATGTAACCGCTGGGCTCTGAGCCAGACAGCTGGAGAACCAGAGTCCGAGGTGCCTTGGCTTCCTCAGCATCAGCACATCTGGCAGGGGGTCCGGCCAAACTCAGCCCCCACACCCACGGAGGCGGCTCCAGCTGGGTTTATAACCCCCTGCCTCGAAGCCGGGGCTTCCTGCTCCGCTCACTGGAGGCTGAGCTGGGCCACGCCGACCCAGAGCTCCTGTGGGGGTGGATCATGGCGGGACTCTGCTCCCCGCTGGCCGCACTGCTCCTGCTGGTGGTGCTGCCGTCCCCAGCGCAGGGTAAGAGGGAGCAAGGGAACCAGAGCCCTGCAGAGCCACGGGGAACAGACCAGAAGGGGCAGATCAGATCCAGATCCTGCCCCGGGGACTGGCTCTGACGCTTTCCCAGCGCCTGGGTTCGTGGGTTTGTGGGTCTCGGGGGATGTGAGGAAAACAGATCCTGCCCAGAGAGGGGCAGAAATGACAGTGCCGGTCCCCAGGCCCTGCTGTGCATGAAGGGACCCTGATCCCCACCCCCGCAGACATCCCCAGCTTGACCCCTCCCACCCCTCTGACTAGCCCCCACAGGACCCACAGCCTCCAGCCCCCCTCCCATTTGTTATGCCCCAATCTCCTGCCCTCAGGCTTGGCTGGGTGGAAGGAGCACATGTGGCCCTGAGAGAGCGGAGAGCAGCCCTCGCTTGTCTCATGTCGATGTTCACTCTGAAACCTACTGACATATGGTAGCCACCTACAATTTGGGGGGCGGTAGGGGGATTATGGGAGGAGCTATGGGACAGTGGTGGGGCTTGTATTCCAGCCCTATAAGAACATAAGTATATAAGAATGGCCAGACTGGGTCAGGCCAAAGGTCCATCTAGCCCAGTGTCCTCTCTTCCAACAGTGGCCAGTGCCAGGTGCCCCAGAGGGAGTGAACAGAACAGGGAATCATCCAGTGATCCATCCCCTGTCACCCATTCCCAGCTTCTGGCGAACAGAGGCTAGGGACACCATCCCTGTCCAGCCTGGCTAATAGCCATTGATGGACCTATCCTACATGAATTTATCTAGTTCTTTTTTTGAACCCTGTTGTGGTCTTGGCCTTCAGAACATCCTCTGGCAAGGAGTTCCACAGGTTGACTGTGTGTTGTCTGAAGAAATACTGCCTTTTATTTGTTTTAAACCTGCTGCCTATAAATTTCAACCCCTAGTTCTTGTGTTACAAGCAGTAGTAAACAACACTTCCTTATCTATTTTCTCCACACCAGTCATAATTTTATAGACCTCAATCATATCTCCCCTTAGCCGTCTCTTTTCCAAGCTGAAGAGTCCCAGTCTTATTAATCTCTCCTCATATGGAAGCCGTTCCAGACCCCTCATCATTTTTATTGCTCTTTTCTGAACCTTTTCCAATTCCAATATGTTTTTTGACATGGGGCGACCACATCTGCACACAGTATTCAAGATGTGGGCGTACCAAGGATTTATATAGAGGCAATATGATATTTTCTGTCTTATTCTCTATCCCTTTCTTAATGATTCCCAGCATTCTGTTCGCTTTTTTGACTGCCGCTGCACATTGAGTGGCTGTTTTCAGAGAACTATGCACAATGACTCCAAGATCTCTTTCTTGAGTGGTAACAGCTAATTTAGACCCCATCATCTTATATCTATAGTTGGGATTATGTTTTCCAATGTGCATTACTTTGCATTTATCAACAGTGAATTTCATCTGCCATTTTGTTGCCCAGTTACCCAGTTTTGAGAGATCCTTTTGTAGCTCTTCGCAGTCTGCCTGGGACTTAACTATCTTTAATAATTGTGTATCATCTGCAAATTTTGCCACCTCACTGTTTACCCCTTTTTCCAGATCATTTATGAATATGTTGAATAGGACTGGTCCTAGAACAGACCCCTGGGGGACACCACTATTTACCACTCTCCATGAAAACTGACCATTTATACCTACTCTTTGTTTCTTACCTTTTAACCAGTTACCAATCATTGAGAGGACCTTCCCTCTTATCCCATTGCAGCTTAATATGCTTAAGAGCCTTTGGTGAGGGACCTTGTCAAAGGCTTTCTGAAAATCTAAGTACACTATATCCACTGGATCCCCTTGGTCCACATGCTTGTTGACCCCCTCAAAGAATTCTAGTAGATTGGTGAGGCATGATTTTCCTTTAATAAAACCATGTTGACTCTTCCTCAACAAATTAAGTTAATCTATGTGTCTGACAATATTGTTCTTTATTATAGTTTCAGCCAGTTTGCCCAGTACTGAAGTCAGGCTTACCAGCCTGTAATTGCCGGGATCACCTCTGGAGCCCTTTTTAAAAATCGGCGTCATGTGAGCTATCCCCAGTCGTCTGGTACAGAAGCTGATTGAAATGATACATACCACAGTTAGTAGTTCTGCACCTTCCACCCTCCTGCCTTCAATCGGATCCTAATGCTGCTCTTGTCCCCATGGCCCCGATGCTGTAATGTCTCCCCAACATTTCTGTTCCCTTCACAGGTGCTGAGGAGAGTCAAGACCAGCCAGGTAAAGACTCAGGACTCCTGGGTTCTAGCCTTAGTTCTGGGAGGGAGAGGTGCACCTTGTCCTGTGTTAACATGGCTCCCTGGTTTGTGCAGTGTTCAGCCGTATCATCGGGGGGCAGGATGCCCAGGAGGGTCAATGGCCCTGGCAGGTCAGTGTGCAGGAATATGATAATGAAAAATCTGAATACCACCACATCTGCGGAGGATCCCTCATCTCCGCCCAGTGGGTGGTGTCAGCCGCTCACTGCTTCAATCGGTGAGTAACCCTGGAAGGGGATCCCAGGCTGCCCTTACTTGGCTTGCAGTGACATCTGGCTGTGGCCTCAGCTCCATCACTGACCCCCTGCTCTTGGTTAAACTATCCCCATGGTGCAGTGGGGCATCGCGTTGCTGTATGGTTGTTGTTCAGCCTCTCTGCCCCAGAAGTGGCTGCATTTTTGTCTCTGTTCACAGTCTATCTTCCCCCCCTTGATCAGTATTTTCTGCCCCTCCTCTCCCAGCTTTCTCCCTGACTCTGCGTATCGCATGAACCTGGGGGAGTACCAGCTCTCCAACCCCTCCCCCACCCGGATCTCGTCCCCTGTGAATGGCATCTTCAGGCACCCCAACTACAACCAGAGCACGTTCTTCGCCGACATCGCCCTGGTGCAGCTGACGGAACCTGTCAATTTCACGGACACCATCCGTCCCATCTCCCTGCTTGGCCCCTCCACCCAGTTCCCAGCAGGGGAAAAGTGCTGGGTTACTGGTTGGGGCAAAAACGGGTCGGAGTGTAAAGGTGAGTGGGGATGGGAGCTTGGTGGGTCTAATGGGTGATTGGGGGTGATCTGAGAGCCCTTCCTCTGAGCTCTGAACACTCAGGGCTGTGTAGCTACAAGGGAAACCCTGTGTGCACATGCACACACATAAACAGACACACACACTGCCCGGTCCTCTCCATCAGGGGGCAGCACTGCACGCGCTCACACACAATCTCCCCTGACTGTGACGTTTATGTGCACTCTGATCTGCAGTCCTTGATGGTGACGTTGCTCACATGCCCAGCCACCATGTTACACTCGGAGAGATTTTTCCCAGCACGTTGCCATCCTTTCCAGCTCCCTTGGCCTCCCACAGGGCTTCATCCCCGGCTCTCTCATTCCAGATACTCTTCAGCCACCCCGGACGCTTCAGGAGGTGCAGGTTCCTCTCGTCAATGTGTCGACCTGCAGAGAGAACTTTGGGGAACAGAGCCACTGGATCCAAGATGACATGCTGTGCGCTGGGTCCAGGGGTGACCCTAATGGCCCCTGCAAGGTGGGCTACTTGGCTTAGGGGGGCAGTACTGGGGCTGCTTGAAATTATCTGGCACATTGTTCTGTTTGCAAACATTGGCCTTTCCTCTCAAAAAAGGCCCGCGTGGGTGATGTTTTAATTTGATCTTCCACGGCATCTCATTGATGGAGAAAGCAGCTCTCTCAGCAGCAGTGCATTCTGGGAGATCTGACAAGTCACCCTAGGATGGTGGGGGGAACTCTCTGAGCTCTGGCCCCACCGAACTGAGAGGGTTAAACTTAACCTGAGCTTAATCTCAGAGAAAACAAATCTAACAAGGGCAGTAGCTCTGCTCCCAGCACTGCAGCAGGACATGGCATGGGAGGGAACTGGGTTTTATCCCCAGCTCCGGGAGGGGAGTGGGGTCTAGTGGGTTAGAGCAGGGGGGCTGGGAGCCAGGACTCCTGGGTTCTCTCCCTGGTTCTGGGAGAGGAGTGGGGTCTAGTGGGTTAAAGCGAGGAGG